TACATCCACGACGTGAATCCATGAGCTTAATAATAATGGAAATTGAAAAAGTTGCAACTCAATCGCAGTGAGCTCAACTCGAAGCTTTTAAACTTAAACTCAAACAAGAGTGGACATTGTATGTAAGCAGTTTATTATGATCTTTAAGTCAAACACTGAAAAGTACTCGGTTTGTGTGCAAACGGTCGTTTTGTACTTTTATTCGTGTTTTTTACACTTTGGAATTTCAATTATTAATATTAAAGAGATAAATGAAGCTATTGTGAATTATGCGTATAGTTCTTAGATTTCTTAAGCATGTACTTAATCATTGGCGGCCTGGATATGAAGAAGGGGTTATATCCCAACCTGATCAGTGCAGATTAATAGGTGATATAAACTTCAAAGGTAGTGGAATCAATGGTTCAATATGTTATTACGAAAGTTCCTTAAGTTCGTCATCTCAACTCAAGTGGACACAATAACTATTGTATATTATTTCAATATGGCTACCAAATTAGAACAAAACTTTATGCACGATAAAGTTTTTTTTTTTATTATTAATTAGCAAGATCTGTCGAATTCGCATAACCAGCAAAGCTATCCTACTAATCCTGCAAATATTATAAATGCGAAAGTTTGTGAGTGTATCTCTCACTAAACGGTTCTATGAGAGCGGCGCGCGCGAAACCGCTGGCGGGAAGCTAGTTCTGTTATACTTTTAAAACAGAAGGGTACGCTTCGAGAACCGTTACACAAAACTATAATCAAGTATTCGAGAAAGTCGAAATATCATAAGTTATTAAATATAACGATACGTAATTAAATCTTAAGAGTCGGCCACGGAATGGGTGACCAAAAAATATTATCTCTTGTTACTCTGTGTTTTGGAAAGCACGTTAAGCCATTGTTCCTGGCTGCATTTGCTGTCATTAATAACCTCCGATCCGCATTGAGCCAGCGTGGAGAATCATGGCTCATCTCCTTAACCATTCATAAAAAGTGCCTGAGCCCCTGCAGTATGGACGTAAAAGGGCTGATAATTATGGTTATTCAGCACAGATAAATCTAATTCATATTTACGCGGAAAATGTGTAATCTTGAACTCACAAATTTATAATAAAAGTAACTGTTCATCGAGAGTGACATTATGTCCGTCTCTTAATGGAAGTAAGCAAACAGATAATTATTAGTTAATTGTTATTGACCCTATAGCAAAAGTAATAAGATGTCAGACGAGAGAAAGTCAACACGGGAAAATAATATTAATATTGAGATATATTGACTAATAACGCTTCAATAACTTAATGATTATGGAATAGATGTTAAGCCTCATACAGAAAGAAAGACTAGTCATTTAAACAAAAAGTTCCAAAGATATCGAGATCAATATAGCGAAAGAATTTTGAAATTTCAAAATTCTTTCAAAAATAAGAAAAGGTATAGTTTGCTTTTTTAAGCAAAGAAGGTATTGTTCACATACGATTCGGTAGATTATGATGTTCTTAGTTATAATAGGTATTTACCTATGAAATTGCCGTTCTGCCGCACTGGCCATTTCGAATCAAAATATTTTTTCTGAAATTGTCATTTGTTTAATAGTTCGGTTTTTTTTAACTCATTCGAATATTTTTCTTCGTCATCGTTAAGTTAAAAAATCGAGTAATTATGGCGTATGAGTATCGTCGTAACAGCAAAGAGGCACAAGCGGCACGCAACATCAATGACGTTTATGGAACGAACACTGCAAACGAACGCACTACCCTTTATTGGTTTGTCCGCTTCCTTTCTGGAAATTTTGACCTGAAAAATGAACCCCGTGGTCGTCCGAAAACTTTGGTCGAAAATGACGAATTAAAGGCGATTGTGGAAGCTGATGAAACTCAATGTATACCAAAACAATTATTGTTCCATTTGCGTCAAATTGGCAAGGTTAAAAAACTTGACAAATGGGTACCTCACGAACTCAATGATCGCCAGCGCGAAATACGCGTCGAGACGTGCCTTGCATTGCTCAACAGGCATACAAATGAAGAAATTTTGAATTGCATTGTCACCTGTGCCGAGAAATGGATCCTGTTCGACAAGTAAATCGTAACTGCTCAGCAAGTTAGTTGGACCCTGGTTCATCACCCAAACAATGCCCTAAATGAAAACTTACCCCTAGAAAAGTAATGGTCACTGTTTGGTGGTCTAAATTCATCACACTTTCTTAGCAAACCTCGCACGTCTCCAACCAGCTTTGGTCAATCGTTCGGCTCCACTGCTCCTGCACGACAACGCGCGACCTCATACTGCACAGTAGACGATCTCCAAGCTATAAGAGCTGGGGTTGGAAGTTCTCCGTCATCCGCCGTACTTACCAAACCTTGTGCCTACAGACTTTTACTTTTCCAGAATTTGTATAACTTCTCGGCGGGAAAAATTTCAATACCCGAGAGGCAGTACAAAATGCCTTTGAAGAATTTGTTGCCTCCCGACCAGCTGATTTCTTCATGAAGGGCATCAATAAGCTACCAATGCGTTGGCAAAGATGCATTAATTGCATGGGTGATTACTTTGATTAATAGAAATAAAAAAAAAATATAGAAAAAAATACGCTTCATTGATTTCATGAAAAACGGCAATTTCATAAATAAAGACCTAATATTTCCATTCGTGTCTAATTGAGATTTTAAATGTTTCTTTGAACTTAACAGCATGATAAAAAAACATAAACCAGATTAATTGCATTTACTTGTTCTTGCTTGACAACAGCTTGGCATCTAACAGAGTAGAACGACCATTCCATTAAAATAGCACTATTCAAAGTGGTCATATAATTTTTTCCCTTTCGAAAATAACATATGAAATTGGGTTGCAAATAAGATTTGTCCGCATCACTCCCTGTCACGAACGCGCTGTGCTGGAAAATTAATTTCAATATAACGTGATGCAAAGCGATATGAGGTCAGTCTAAGACAGTGGATTTCATTTAAGCATATAAGTGAACTCTTACAATCTCACATTATGTGCTCGGGTTACTTTTATGTGCCTACCTTGTACTCTTGCGTTTTATTAAAAGGAGTAAGTGAAATTTACAGAGCATGCTACTTTTATTTCGCTTATAAAATGTTTTAATACAGTATATATTAGAAAGCTCAAGCAATTAGTAATGGAACTTTTAATATATAAAGCAAACATTTTGTATATTGCAAAAGGTGAACATATAAATTAATTGGGAGGCATGTAAACGTTATTTTAAAAGTTATATCCCTACTCTATCGAGCTTATATTTACTTATATTTATTTATTATACGAAAATTATTAATTGAAAATATATTGAACGAAAAACGCACTTGATTATTAGTCTCGCGGATAAGTAAGGGATTTTCCCTGGACCACATGAAACACATTTTTGAATTATTCCTTTTTTTATTATTTTTTTGAGTTTACGCGTCTTCAGGCTCAGGATATGACCCATTTTTTGCATGCAATTAATTTTGTATTAAATAAGTTAAAATTCATACTCTACCTTTTATTTCTGACACTATGTTATTTAATATCCTTATAATCCTTCATAAAATAATCCTTATGATGAAGCCTTTCGATCGGTATGCTAGGGTAATTTTTTCCCTCGTGTAGCGAATTCGATTCCCGTCAATTAATAAGAAGTCGATGAATGCTGTTTAAAATATTTTTTAAATTAAAATAAGGTCTTCTTTCAGTAAAATGTTCCATCTACAATATTCAAGGTACTTTCCCTAACGTGTAACGCCCTGTATATTTCACCTGCATTTGCATCTATATTCTCTAGTAAAATTATTACAACGTAATAATATTCGATCGAGCTCGATGACATGGTGGTACGCACTCTGTCTGCGGTAGAGTTGTTAAGCATCTTTCGTAATGACCTATAATAGGATGGGTGACAGATCCCCATTAGATTTCAGTTGATTCTAGCCGTAAGAAAGGCCTATGCCCCAGCAGTGTGGATATTAATATAAACTTAAGGACGTTTCTAAGCTGAAATTCTATTCGGTAGTCAGACTTTAGTGGCTGGAGAACTGATTTGAGGCATAAGGTGCTTTTTTCCTGCGTTAACAAAAAAAAAATTCCCCATGCTGTGCTACTTAATATTTACAACGATATTTCCAATGATATGAGAGTTTTAGCTTTCGTAAAACTGTAGAAGGAATTTCTAATAAATAAAAGCTACTATGAGTAGGTAGAATATCGGAATTCTTTGAAGATAAAAAAGTAACCATAATATGACGATTGGTATAGGAATTTACATATTGTTATAATAGAAATATTCACTATTATTTATTACGACAAATTATATAAAAATGGAAAATACAAAACCATATCAAAATTATTTCTGATTTCGTATACTTTAAAAATTACTTGGAATATATTAACTTTGGAATAAATTATTATCAATGATTTATCGACTCCAAAAAAAAAGTTCCAGAAACAACTCTTGATAGTTAATTTAGCTATTAAAACTATGCAATTGAAGAGATTTGATTTCAAAGACCACTATTACTGAATTATTCTCATAAAAAACAACAAACAAAACACGAAACGCAAGTTTTAATTTTTTTTTTTTTACTTAAAAATTCTAAAACAATCGTACACTAGTACTACCTTCTTTTTATTATATTACGTAAGATATTTATTTGTGTTGTGTTAACGCGTATTGAAACCTACATTATTTTGCCTACAATATTTTATACAGTAGCTCGGTAGTATAGTGGATAAGCGTAGCGGCAGGCGATCGTTGTTGTTAAGCAACTTTTGCAAAGATCGGTCTCAGTATGGGTGCCCAAAAATTATTATCTCGATCTACGCCGTGCTGAGGAAACCTTAAGCCTTTGGTCCTGGCTGCATTTGAAGTTGTTTATACTCTCCAATCCACATTTAGCTAGCATAGAGGGTCATCTTCTCCATAACCATTCATAATGAAGGCCTGAGCCTTTGCAGTGTGAACAAAAAAGGGTTGATGATATTGTAGTTTACAGAAATAGTTTTGTTCGCAGTATCTTCAAGATGATGAGCAAACGCATTGCCGTTGTTCTTGCCTTAGTCGTCGCCGTGGTGTGCTTGGCTGAAGCCCGCGAGGAGGGACCCAGTGCTCACGAGATGGCTGATGCTCTACGCGTACTCCAGGAACTTGATCGCTACTATACACAGGCTGCTAGACCTAGGTAAGAACTGATAATGTATTTAAAAAATGACGTATGTTATTTATAGGTGGAGTTGCCAGCGTTTTTACTCTTTGACTTGACGATTCAGTTTTCACGATCAAAATGATCGCGTGCTGTGAAAATGTGATAACAGAAGCCATAAAAACCGGCGAGCATGTATGAATAGAGAGCGGAGTTTTCATTTAGACAGTGGAGGAGACGAAAGACCGTACCATGTGACATTCGATCCTTACCCCTCAAGGGATACACAGTGAAGATATAATTAAGGATAGACTATTTTAAACGGAATTTAAGATCTATAAAGAGGGTGATCTATTGCTTTATTTCACTAGTTTCTATATATGTATATATATCATATATCATCCGAATTACCAGTTTCGGTTTTATAAAAAAAAATATCTTGAAAAATTATTCCAAATATTAAGCTCATAGAAAATATTGAAGTCGTCGATATAAAAAAGCTTGTTTTTACTTTTCTATTCTTTTCATCTATACTAATATTATAAAGAGGAAAATATGTGATTGTTTTTTGCATCAAATAGGCTGTAAAACAATTGGACTTCTTTTAGATTTTACCTATGGGAAGCTGATATTTTTTCCTATTTAGATATGATTCGATTCCATCTAGAAGGAAGGCCTGTATTCTAGTTATGGAGACATCAATAGGCTGGTGGTGATAACGGAGCCGCATTATATGCCAGTGGCGTATAATGCGACTCCGGCTGAGTAGCTCAGTGGCGTGGATAAGCGCCGCGGCCCGCGATCGTTGTCGCTAAGCAACTTTCGCAAGGGTCGGTCACGGGATGGGTGATCGAAAAATTATTATCTCGAGCTACTTCGTGCTTCGGAAGGCACGTTAAGCCGTTGGTCCCGGCTGCATTTGCAGTCGTTAATACCCTTCAATCTGCATTGGGCCAGCGTGGAGAGTCATGGCCCATTCTCCTTAACCATCCATAAGGAAGGCCTGAGCCCCTGCAGTGGGGACGTAAAAGGGCTGATGATGATGATGATGATTATTATATTATCAGATTAGTATTAGTGTCTCAAGGATGCGGAAGTTAATTGGGTTATATACACAAAATAAGGGATACGAGACTAAGTATACAGATAGAGTTAATGGTTATTGCGCATGTAAATAAGGAAAGGCTGCATTCGCCAGCAAAAAATTGTGAAGTGAACGTATAAGCTATCACATACGTCAAATGTTGTGTTATTTATGAGGGGACTGGGTCGTTTTTTATTTGATAGGATAATGATGTTTCGATTTTCGGTTATCAATTTTATCGGACGCCTTTCTATTTCTGTAGGTTAGACTTCTATAATTTATTTTTAAATATTTTGAAATATATTTTGAGGTTTATGTGGAATAAAAATGTCAGGAAATTACTCAAAGAAATTATATTATTGTATTGAACATTTGTGATAAAAAAGCGCTTGAAAAATTATTCCAAATAAGCAAGAATAGACTCGTTCTAAATAAATTAATATTTTGCGCGCACTACTTATTAAATAAAACTTACTTTTAAACGGGTTTATTGCGTAAATTATTTATACATTTTTCAGACGTTTCTGTCCTTTACGGTCGTCGACAAAGACGTCACACATCTTAGTCTTTCGTATCCTCGTAAAGAATATTTCTGTATTTGATGGAAATACACTTCACTAGCAATTAGATTTATTGAAAACTAACAACTAATTTCATAGTCTCCTGAAGCAAATATTTACCAGGCATTACTCTAAGCTAAATGTTAAATTATATTGTGCATTTTAGTATGAACATTATTCCGTGTAAGCATATTTTACTTACTTTCAATTGAGTTCAAGGAGTTAATATGTCATACGTGTAATTTTTTATTCAGTAATGAAGCCCTTTTTCTACTAATATTATAATTGCGAAAATAATTCTGTCTTTTTATTTCACGCCTAAAACATTGAATCAATTTTAATGAATTTTGATACAGAGACAGAGTTAACTTTGAGAAAGCGAAAAAAGAGGATTAAGGGCTATCAATAGGAGATGAGAGTTTTGATGGAAGTTTATCATTGAAAATAGGTAAACCACGTGGACGAAGTCGCGGGCATGAATGAAATTAAAGAATCATTTATAAAACAACACTCTATATTGAAATACAGTACGGAATGTAACACAGCAATTCACTATATTCGGAAGGGGTGAACAGCGAAATTTATTCATTTGATATATTCAGATATCAGTGCCGGTCGTGCCCTCATGTTTGAGTTTATTATTTTGAATATAATATTTCGGGTATGCGAATGCCAATATTCTAATGGACACTTCGGAATTATTCATATTGAAATAGTTTCGAATTACATTCATAAAAGGTAGTGGTAACGGAAACCTTCTCAATGAAAACTTGCTTAATTATTTTAAATAGAGTAAAGACTTCATTCATCATTCGCTTGCCGTTTTATTTAAAAAGTCAGTGGAATTTAAATTAATGCCAATACACACACAATACAATATGTAAAATTGTCTGCTTCGTTCAAGTAATCAAAATGTAATGCCTATACATATCTCTTATGGTAGGTAAATGAGGCGTCATAGACAAGGTGTGATCTATCGCTTTCACGCATCTAGGCAGATTCACTTCACCGATAACACACGTTAGATATTATGTTACTGGTTTTAATGTTGCTGTATTAAAGATAAATCTTCCTATATAATTAATGACTTTTCAGTTTGGCTGGATATTTCAGAAATTCAGAAGAAATAAAAATATTGTCATGTATATTTGTAGATAAAATATTTAAAACTTCGTCTTCGCCGAAATGCACATATCGTTTCCCTTCTTTACAGTATTTTGTTTAATCCACTTTCGCCATCTTATCTTAAGGAACGTTTTAATTTCCTTCATAATATCCACACGAGTTTTGAGATCATCAGAGAACTTAAAATTGGAAACACCAATGCATTTCACTAAATTTCTTGACAAATCTTTTATAGTTCAAGCTGCCCGTCTCTGGAATGCATTGCCCGAAAATATAAGACGTGCGCAAATGGTAGAAAGTTTAGAAAATCTAGTAAAGGAGAACTATCTGTGTTTATGAACTTTTAAATTATATACCTATATATATATGTATATATATTTATAATAGTTTTAGTGTGTATGATAATTATGTATGTGTTTTATATCATATACACTTAAGACACCATAAACTACCTAATTTAGATTTAAATTTTCCAAACGGTAACGGTTGCCTGGAAGAAATTGCTTCTTTGCGAAAAGGCAGCCGATTGTACTATTTGTTCTATGGTTCTATTATTGTTATCTAAGATTGGTGTTTATGTACAATAAAGAACTAATATATCTATCTAAAACCAAAAAAATACCAAAAAAACTTGTTGTTACTATTATTTTTAAAGTTTTTCATTCACATATCGATATTTATTACAAACAAAATATATAAATTATTCGGGAATCTCACCTCTTTCCACTTTCCATCTTGGATATCTTATACAGTTTATATTTGTACGAGTGTCACTGATACAAAAGCTCTGAGCTTGAGCTTATTGAGAATCAGTAATATACCAAAATCCTTCCGAAAATTCACACTAGTTCAAATAACCACTCTGAATGTTTTTTTTTTAAATGTAACATCATACTTTAATGAAGTCATTTTCTAATCTTGATGACTCTGAAATAAAATGTAGAGAAAAAAGCAGCCCTTGTTGAGATTCTTGCCGGTTCTTCTCAGTACAAGGTCTCCCGCCGTAGATTTACTAAAGTTGCGACTTTCACAAGAGCTTGTCAGAGCCTAGAATAAATGATTTTGATTTGACAATGAATTATTTATACATAATGAGATTCCAGATATTTTAATTTCTAAAAATAATCCAAAAAAAGGACAAAAATATTTTTATGTAATGCAAAATCGACTTTCGTAAATCTTTAACTGATTAAGTACGTGTTTAAAATCGTGATTTATCAAAAAGGTGGGTTAATCAAATTAGTCACATAAAAGCATATAATTTTAAACGTAAATTCCTATATAATTTCAAAAATAAACACAAAGTACACTAACAAAACTTTTCCTGGAGATTCAAATGGTTGAAACGCAACAAATACATTTATACAATGGGTTCCACAACAAGCGTTGTACGTCAAAATAGAGATAAGACCTGATTCCACGAGAAAATTACTGTGGCCTCAATCAAGAGAGGGCAGAGGTGGCATTTACAGCCTTTGTGTTCATGGAATTGTGAATTGCATACAATTCCAACAAAGCTGTTGTTGATTCTTCAAAGCGTTCAATTTAGAAATGTAGTTTCATGTTTTATTTAGAATTTGCAAAGAGTCGCCTCAATTTTTTCATTCATTTATATTCCATCCTAAGATAAGTTAAGCTGGAGAAAATAGTTGTGACAGCTAGTTCGGATGACGAATGTAAAATGGAAACAAATAAATATAATTTAATATAAAGATTCTAAACTATAGTGGGGCCCACATATTGATAAATTCTCGAGTAGACTTAGCTCTGCAGTATATGCCGTAATGAAGATACGTACATAGGTTAACTGATATAGATACTGCCAGATTAGTATACTTCAGTTACTTTCATAGTGTAATGTCGTACGGAATTATATTGTGGGGAAATGCTGCCGACATACAAACGGTTTTTGTGCTTCAGAAAAGAGCAATAAGATCAATTTATAATCTTAGGATTAGGGACTCTAAGGGAGAAATTTTAGGAAAAAGACGCAATGACTGTTGCTTCTCAATACATATACGAGAACTTAATATACGTTCGTAAAAATATTAGTTTGTTTTCTATAAAAAATGATGTACACAATTATAATACAAGAAATAAAAATAAATTAACGGTGCATGTCACTAGACTGCAAAAAGTTAATTACTCATTCAGGGGTCTTTGTGTGAGCTTCTACAATAATGTCCCAAGCAAAATACAACAATTAGATATCATGCAGTTTAAATCTACTATTAAAAAAGCTTATTATAAGGTTTCCGATTATATAACAG